ATTTCAATTTTCTAGTAGAATTTCCGAACGAAATGAAAATTCTTCGGGTGTTATATTTTATATTGTATCATTGTTGTACAAAACCAATAATATTGGTTTTTGTACAACAATGATTATGATTGCACTGTATATATTATATACAATTATTCTAAATTAATTGGAAAATGCATTTGATTCTCCGTAATGGTAATCAAATTTTATTAAAAGAATTATTTATTTACAATGTTAATTTTTTATAACTTTTAAACCATTTTTGCATTTTTTTAGAGTATTTTTTGTTATTTTTTAGTTCATTAAATCCCAGTCCTTAGTTATCAATAAGGCTCGGAAGTTATTGAAGTTGCATATTGTTCTGTATACACTCGATTTATAGCACATCAAAGTAGAAATCCGAGCTATACAATATTCAGTTTAAAAATTGAAAATATTTTGCATAATTCGTTGATTTCTAAGAAAAATTGCATATTTCGTCGATTTTCATTGATTTTCGCATATTTGTACGCATATTTAATGTTTTATAAAAAAAAAATTTTCATTCTTAACCGATTTATTTTATATAAAAAATAATACTAATTATACACATCGCTAATAACATGGAAAACGTACATCATATAAAACTCAATATTATTTTTTGAGGTTATTTATTATTATTTTTTAATGTCTATTATAAGTTTAACAAAACTATTGATGGTACAATGCAATCAATAATTTAACAGATACTATACAACATATATTTATTTCGTATTTCACAAATAATGAAAATATATTTGCTTAACTACTTTATGAGTTCAATAAAAACTCAAACGCCAACCTATTATACGCCATATTTTAGTTTTCAATAATACAATTTTTTTTAATTATAGGTTTTTAATATGTATTAATTAACTTTTAATAAATAAATAAATATTTTTTTTTGCGTATTTCACACTTTTTCATGCATATTTTATCATTTTTTTGTGCATATTTTACCTTTTTTGGCTCCTATAACTTCCGAACCCTAGTTACCAACAATTACAACTGCGTTTTATATATTAAAATAGGAAAATTGAAATAAAATTTTAATTTTAATATTTTACAGTGCAGATCATTACATTAAATTCGACATCAGCTGGAAGTAAATTGATATTAAAAAATATGAAACTAAACTAAACTAAACATTAAACTAACTAAATTCATAAATTATAACTTATGTGATATCGAAGTTTGCGACCCACGCTGCATTACGATATTAATCAAATATTTTATTACAAAGTAATATTGTGCTTTTTGAAAAACATTTCAGAAATAAAAATTGTAGATGTTTAATTTTAAACTTATTATATATACAAAACAACGGCTATTCTTTTTTCTCTTTTTCTCTATAACGGTCGATATATTTATCGTAAAAAAAAAGTGCTGCAAACTGTTTTCTCCCTTTCTTAAATTGGATTGGCCAACCAGGCTGTATAAAGTACATGTCTTGCACGGGAAAAACGACCTAGGGTGTTTAGAAACCGAACGGCTTTTCCCGTCCCCTCCTACTCTTACAGATCTCACGTTACCCCGAATGTCCGAAAAAAAATAAAATAAGTAATTTATATTAAAGACGAAGGGATTCGAACGACTTACGATGTATTTCTCTTAGCCTTTATTTTCCTGAACCGTGATACAGAAGTTAGCCTTTGATGATTGATGTTTTTCCGGGAAAATCCTATACCGGATGTTTAAGGCATTCCATAGTTGGTTGCAATGTACAGGAGAGTATCATCTTGGAGAAGGGCAGGAGTAGTATTTACCAGATTATACCACGGTTCGTTGGCTTCCTGTTTGGAAGTGATAAATTTTAAAGCGCGAGACGCGACTCTTAAAACAGGATTGCTTTCAAAACGTAAATCAAAATACATAGCACCCACACATATGAGGGTGGATAAAACTACCTGGATAGCAGTCTTATTGAAAAAATATGTCGTGTTTCGTTTTAAATTTGTAATACAACTATAGCAGAGGAATCGACAAAATAAAAAGAATCAGCGTGATGCAATAAAGCGTTTATCGAACCTGTATCGATAAAGAAACTTCACGTATAGGTATAAACGTTGCTATGATCAACTTAATCAATAATAATAAAAAGTTATATTCTAATGTATAGCCCTATTAAAAGGAAATTTGGAAGACCATTTTTTTTCAATATTCAGTAAGAACAAAAATGAAAATAAATAGATTATATCTTTACTGGCCATTTTTTTAATAGTTATATAAAGACAGATATTAACAATTTATTCATCACAAAATGTATGAGAATTATAATAATAAAATTACTGTACTGTATAGGTATATATAGTTAAGAAGATCTGAGTACACCATATGTATTATGTAAATATGATTCTATGCATAAAATGTATTTTTTTCTCATCTTAACAAAAGATTTTTTGAGTTTTTACCAAATGGTAATACTATTTACGGGAGTACCGTTCAAAATGTACCCTATTTTTACGGGGTAAACTCTGCAGCATCACTAGTATTATTATTACTATGGTATGTACATGTAATGCAATTTCGTGTTTTGCATAATACAATTTATAGCCGAGCCAAGTATTGCCGTTAATCGAAACCTTCAGTTAATTTGAATTCATGGAATAATAGACTATTTCGAGCCGTTTACGGATTCGTTTCCAATAATTTATATTGTACCTTTAAATAAATGTATCAATCTATATATATATTTATTCAGCTTTCATAAAACATAATATCGAGTTACGTGATACCAAATCTATTATGTACGTCTAACTATAACACGATCAATCTGTTTAATATATTTGTAAACATTTTTGTTACTTTTTATTTATTTATTTATTTAGAAAATTGAGTTGACCAACAAGCGTAACGTCCAATTAAAGCTGAGCACTCCTAGCCAATACTTGAACCGTAACACACAGGTCTCAGATGGTTAAATAAGATTTCGCGAGAACTTACCATTTGAAGTTCTTTATGCGCCTCCCGGGACGACTTCACTCTTGGCAACTCGACCGGGGGACGCGTTTATCATTTTCGGACATAAGAAACGATTTTCCGAGTATAATTCAACCATATCATATGTTTTTTGCCGTTTTTTTCCTTTTTCAAAAACCCGAATACTGTATTATATGTACAAAGTCAATCCGTGATTATGTTTGCCTAAACACTGTATTTGTTTGATCGAAAAGATTACTCGTTTACCGAGAACAATGTACGATACAACACAACAAACAAGGGTAGTATCTCCTCCTATATTTCGTCATACTCTTTCGAGTGGACGCCTTTTTTTTTTGTGTGTGTCATTGTTCTCGCTACCTCTTTGTTTCGGATAAACGGAACGTAGCACTTTTCGAAATTAAAAGGGGGAAATTTTGTGAAGAGCACCGGACCGCGTTGTCAGCCAAACTCTTCACATGAAACATTAACTATAAAGGGTTCATCATTATCTCTAAAATATATAACATATTTTGATCCGTTCGTACAATATATGATTTTCGTATGTATATAAAAAGTCATAGATAGATACCATTCGTAAATAATTTGATTATTGCAGACTTCGTAAAATGAATCGGACTTGTGTCATTGAAAACAAAAACCAGAAATACACACATAAAAAAAAAAGTTTTTCTGTAAAAAGTTTTCATCGAATCACTGAGTAATCGAAATTTGAATTGCTAAAAAAGTTTCACACTTCAGAAGAATCACAATTTATCTTTAAAACTATAAAAATAAATCATATATTTTTGACAGTTCAAGCATTGCTGAATTTAAACTGTCTTCGGATGGAATGCAAAATATACGATATGTCTCTTGAGATTATTTCATTTCACATTGTTTTTACGTTAAAAATAATCAACGTTCCTATGTTTTTCGTATTATAACCTTGTCATTAAATTCAGTTAAATCCCTAGTATCAAATTTCTATAATGATAAACTTCAATAATTTTTGCATCTGCAATGTAGTTTGATATTTTTTGAAAGAAAATATTTTACTCTTTTCATCAATTTTAATGTATGTATAGTATACAAATACACTAACGCAGGGTTAAAAAAAACTTATAGCAGAAAAAAGAAAATCATAATATTATTTTTAAAAAGTAGAATATAAAAAGGTTCTGTTTCTTTGTAATATTTTTTCAATTGTTGAAAATAAATAAATAATAATAATATTACCATTAAAAATGTAGACTAACATAATTTTTAAAAATTAGTTTATACTTCAATATAATATAAATACACACACACACACACATTTATATAAGATTCATAAGAAAATACCCAATGAAAAATAATAGAAAAATCGTTTTGAGTAAAAAAAGATAAAATAACAATATTGACCTTTGGATGACAATTCACAATATATTGACTTACAAATAATATACTTTTTACACAAATACACATACAAACACGTACATATATCTACATAAATTGATTTTTGTATCTGTACATATAATAAATACTGATTTATATACCTAATGTTGGCTAGAAATTCTCGTCGATCTCTATACGCAGTAAGACATACGTAAAGGACGAACGTGACATTTCGTTTAGTCGTACGAAGACGACATTTTTGCTACTTACTCGTAACTTTCAAGACGTAATAGCCATATCGGGTCTAATTCAACCTTTTTTTTTTCACCAATTATATATTACAAATTCACCATGAAAGGGTGGTGTGGATGGGTAAGAGGATCGGGCATAGAGAGGAGAAACAGTCTATCATTTGCCTGAGAATTCAATATCGTTCGTCTACTACAAAGAGCACAAAAGGCAGCACGGATTGTCGTCCCACTATAGCAGCTCCGATCACCATGACAACACCGTGAGAGGAGGGGGTAACCCTCATTTGCCTAACTGACCACGTCCCTCCGTTAAAGAATAATACGCGTTTCGCAAAATTGTTTATGAAATTAACTATTTATGAAATAAAACACACAAATAAATGTATGTTTATGCAAAAGTACGAATTAAATCAAGCACTTATACAGGTAAAACGGCTCACTTACCCGTGCCAATTGCTTTTGCAGCTTAGAGTTCAGTGTTCTCTCCCTCTGCACGTTTCTTCGCTCTGCCGTCAACTCGGATTCTAGTTGCACGATTTTCGCTTCCAAATATTCCTAAAACAGATCATTAAATTCATTAACAAGAAACAGTCCGTTTAGCTAATGTATAAAAACATAATAATACAAACACACACACACACACACAATCGATATAACAATATCACAACTTATACTAATAATTATTTGTGCTTTATCATCCAGTGAACACACGACTGCTGATACCAATGTCAATAACGATTATAATACAAATATATAATCTTGGGTAAGTTAATCTAATGGTAATATAGAGAGCTTTATGTTAATTTAGTCGAGCGATTCATATTTTCATTGAGTTAACAGTTTGAAAAAAAATTTTATTTTTTAGCAGTATGTAGATGAAAGTAATTAATATCATTAAATGTGGATGAAAACGTTACTAGACGATTTAATTAAATGTTGCTTATTGGATTAAAAATAATGAAAATTAATAAAGTTAGTATAGAAGTTAAGTTTGAAAAATTAAAATTTACTAATTTATAAACTAAGAATGATATTTTATTGACTAATTAATTATTTGCCGTGTATACTGTAAACTTATAACTATGAACTATGTTCTAAATAAGTTATGCAGTATTTTTTCTTCTTTTTTTTAAATCGTAGTAGATGTGAATCTATACATTTTGTACAACTGTTAAGAGTAATATACTATATATTATCACATCCATTACGAAAGGCCCGATTCCGCAATAAAACAAATAATAGTTTCTATATTGTCGTTAAAACCGTAATAAATTGAAAGTAAATCAGTTGAATGGCCAACGTTCTACAATACGTATTTTTTATAGACGTAAACTTAAATATTTTACTGTAGTGTTGTGTATCAGGCAACATTGACAACGTTTTACTACGTTCAAAAACAATGAATTCTAGATGGATAAAAATATAAAAATATGCAAAATACTGAAAAAAAAATGTAGTTCAAATCAAACACAAATATTTAATGTTGTTTATGAAAAATATGAAGAAAAACCAAAACTTTTGATATCCACTTCAATAATATTAATAATAAAACAAAATAATGTATTTTTTGTTTTTTATTTTTGTTTTTAATAAACGGTAATAATGGTTCCAGCCACAGTTGTTAATAAGTGTGTAACGTCTAAATTGCCTTCCTCGTTAAAATTAGTTTGTTAACGTGTTTCATAAATTATATCTTAATATTACATCATAATATCGGACAATCAAAATCATTTCTATTCAATAGAATGGTAATATGCTTGATAAAATTGACAGCGATGCAGGAGGCACGGATAATAAAAACACGTAAAGGAAGGAAGTATAGGAGCAAATAAATTCTCGCGCGATTCTGTCAAGAATGAGTTAAGGGTTACATCCAATGAACCATACTATCCAGTCGAATTTGTAAAAAGGGGACATTATATTGTTGTAGGTAGTCGAAGTATAAACGAAAAACGACAACGAAACTAGCGAATCACATTTACGGCACACACAACAATTCTATTTTACGTAAAATATCACCTTTTGAATACACAAAATCAAAAACACAAAGGCTTCAAGTGACTTGGGAAAAAATGTAATAATTTATAGTTTAATCGTCGATGTAACATTACACACTGATATGCGGCGGTGATATCTACCTCGGTGTTTATTATTGATTAATAAAATAATGGGATTCTTCTAATTTAAATCGAAAATACGCCGCATTGATTACGTTGTACTCTGTTGTGTGCAGATCAGATGAAGATATTGAAAAGTTTTCAGCAAACCACGTTTTATTTTTTAAAAATTCGAATGGATTGTATCGTTGAAAAACGAATTCAATTAATCGAATACACTTTGAAGTATATGATTGAGTATAATGCTGCGGTTAAAACGGGTCTATGATACGGATCTCGATCAATGTCAGCGATCCGACTGACCAGTACACTTCTCGTGCATATTATACCCTACCATAAAATCTATACATTTGCAAGTTTATATACGAGTATATACCCTTTGGATGTAAAGAAAAAAAATACGTTTTGATACAACCAGACCGCAATCAGTCTTATTAAGGACTGCGCCAATAAATCTCTCTCTTCTTTTGATGTTTTCGTGTTGTTACGCACTACATACGAGGATTTCGAGAAACCGTGTAAGAAAAATGTACCGTGTGAAAAAAGCAAACGAGAATGCAGTGCGATGAAAAACAACCACGTGGGAGCATTGATCACAATAATTGGACGAACCGAAACATAGACAAACGATATCGCTTTATCTAATACATATATACACTTACACGGAAGAACGACGAAACGGTATGTATGTGTGTGTGTGTGTATGTGTGTGTGTGTGTGTGTGTGTGTGCGAAGATGGATAAGGCTGCAGAGGAAGGTTAAACGCCATCAATAACATCAAAAGTGATAGCAGCAACAAGCTTATTAGTTGGCGTTGATAAAAAATAATGTATTAAAATATTCATGATACAAGTTAATCCATTTTACTCATTTTGTTGGAGAAGCATCTTTCAATGATAATCTGATGACACCAATTATAATGATAAACACATTTATGATAAAAAAAAAAAACTTCTTTCTTTTCTTTTCACACTATGCGGATCACTATTCGAGTCTTCAATGTCTAACAAAGCTAATGTGTATATTCTTATCGTAGCTATATAAAATAATATATGTAAAGTAATCTATTGCTCGAATCCACATCAAATATACATAACACCTTTAGTGAACACAAACTCTAGTTTCTAAATATCCTCCAGAGATACACTTGGGTCCCGTAAGATTAATTGACCAAGGCCATGTCGTCAATCACTATAGAAACTATACGAAAAAAAAAAAAGAAGCAAAAACAAAACAATCTTTCAGTTGACAAATGTTTGAAATTACCATCACACCAGCTACTACATTAACGATAATAAGATACATTATGATTGATTTAAAAAACAATAAAAAAATACTTGGTGCAACATATGTTATTTTATATTATCTCAAATCCGTGATCATAATATATAAAATATTACAGCGGAGACTTAATTTTGTTGCACAATATCAAGAAATTTATTAAAATAACAATGTTATGAATGTAAAAAGTATATAATTGTATATATTATGTTAGACGTGCCAAGAAGAAATGCCAAATTCTTTGATAAAAATATATCACAAGCTATTTTTTAACATTTCCTCTACATAATATTGATTTGTTTATCTTGTCGCTAATTGGAAAATGTATTTTGTCATGACGTAATAGCACTTAAAGGCCATACCAATAGGTTGTTACTCAATAATTACATAACTATAACCGTAAACAATATTATAATATGTTTTTTCACACATATGAAACGTGGTCTTTATGCGCTCTTCAATTAATTAGTATTGTTTAGACGGCGAAAGATTAACTTAAATCATACGCCACTTAATCTAACCACCACATTTGGTGTATGCAAATCCAACGCATTAATACTACTCCAGTATCAGCTTTTTGATAAAAATATTTACATGATATCCAAGCGAAGCTATCGTATGCATGAAACTCGACTGAGTATACCTGTGGATATATATTTTTGTTCCTGTATTTTATATTAAGTGCGCACTTTCTCAAAAATAACGGAAACTAACAGGACTATTCCGGATATTGCGCGAGTGAAAAATCTTGTTCAAGTGTCATACCGCAGCACTACAGTTCGACGAGAGAGAACGAACAATACACCATAGTAAATATACGCGACCGTTTCTTTGCCATTTTTATATCATACTGTTACATAATAATTATTATTCGTACATCAATGTATACGAACGTAATATTAAACTACAAAAACCTAATATGTAATGCTGCAATAGTTTACTAGCAAAGAAAAAAGATGAAAAATGCATGTAGATACATCAAACGACGAAATTTGATATATTACGTTGTGTTAAACATTCCAAACATTTGAAAAATGTTGTTTACGCGGTGGCGACGGCGACGCCAAATTATAAAATTCGACGGAGCAGAGCTTTTCCGAGAACACCAAAAATAATGAACCAACCCTTTGATGTATTCTCGTCTAGTGTGCACACGCGGTTCTGCGGCAATAACGTTTTTTTCTTTATTGTATATTTTAGAAACGAGCGCGAGAAAATTGAAATAATCACTCAACCATAATTCGTTTTTGAATTCGATTGCTCGAATATACGTAATGGCTTGTTTAAAATTAATATCGTTCTGGATGAAATACGCACTTTACCGTGCAATACTCGTGCAAACCATATAATAATACAATTGCGTTTTCCTGAGAAAACATTTTGTGAGGACGTAAAAAGCTGTTGTTCTACCACCATATCTAGTATTCATACGTTCATATACATACAATTGATATAAGTTCTCGTATTGTCTCAAAGACATTTCTAACATTTTTAACAAGCACGCCGATCGTGTCATGGTTCTACTACAGTGACGAATATTATTAACATATTAACAAACACGTATTATTGTTTATTATTATTAAATTACAATTGTTGAGTATTTGGAGGGAGATTGTTGATTGAGGTATTATGACATAAAATTACTTTTAATACACTTGGACGTCCACAACTTGAACTTGAGCTGAGGGTTAAAATCGCATGAACGTATTTTTTCTTCGCTAGCACAGTACGTCTATACCATAGTCGTATTTGAAGCATAACGAGAAAAATGTATATTTCAGGTCCACCGACCACACACTACTACTACTATACAAGACGGACAAAGTACACAGCTACACGAGCATGCGGTAAACGTAAAATAATAAAAGTATTACATAAAACTAAGAAAATTTTTATCACGCAATGTTTAATTAAATATATGGACTACACTAAATTTTTGGAAAGCAAATGTAAAATAATGTGACTTTTATATGTTTACACAATAGTACATTTTTCGTTCCGTAATGTTTGCCGTGCATTTTTTTTTTTTTTTTTTTGACAATAACAATCGTTATTGAATTGTCCAGTACAAACCATGTTATTAATATCTTACTGCGATATTAATATATTTAATAAATTTAACGAGTATAAACTATTTTCTATATTATTTATAAGAAA